TGAGAATGAGTCATGGGGTAATTAATATAAGATACTACTTTATGATTAAACCAATTTTCATACAAATGTGGATAAAGATAAATAACTGTACACTCACTCACTAGTGATGCATGTTTAGACGGAGTTGATGGATCAGCAGACCGAACAAACCCAAGAAAATTGGGTGATGTTTTGCGCACAGGAACCATTTCAGGCTGTATCACCTGTGGACGTGGCCCTGATGCCAACCTAAATATTTTTTTTTATATTATGTGGTGACACTGTCAGTAAGTACTTATGGACTGTCAACTCCTGCCTGTTTTATTCACTTATTACCAAGAATGTTTAAAATGGAAATCAATTAAAATAATTATGAAAAATAAATCTCCAACAGGCTACTTCTTTCCATGTAAAACTCTGATGAGCCATTGCTTGGTTATTATTATTAAGTGTTCTGTCTTACGACAGGTCCATTGCTCTGCCCAAAAAGAGCTTTCCAGTTGTCCCTATTCTCGGCTTCTCGCTTTAATTCCTGGAACGTCATCTTCTTTCCTTGTTTAAGGTCGTCGGTTAGCTGTATCATATTGATTTTATATCAATTTATAACGTAGATGAGTGCCATTGCACAAACCTAAAGCTTTCTTTAATGAATATGTGTTTATGTAAAGTATTTTAGTTTTAGTTTGTGACTGATGCAGTTGAAAGACACACCACCAACATCTCCATGTAGCAATGAAACAATGGATTATAATGAACTGTTTGAAGATGAAGTTGAGGAGGTTATTGATGGTGAAGCTGCAAGTAGCAATAATTACATAGAAGCAAATGATGCAAGTGATGAAGATATTGGCATAGGCTTAGAAGGCAGTGAAAATTCTGAAGGAAATAACCCTGTGAGGGATGATTCAGCATCTGTATTTTCTCATCATAAAGGTTGGTACTTTCTTATCATAAAGGTTAAACTGTGCCAGGTGGATGTGAAGACATTGATGTCCAAAATATCTGCTGGATATTTAGTGATGGAATGAGGAGAGAGGTGTGACCTAGCCAGTATACTGTGCTTATCACCTTCTCAAATTGAAATTTGCATCTAGTAGCAATATTTCTAAAAGCAGCATGTTGATTTTCAACATAATAATGATAATGACAGCAGTTAAAACTGAAATACAATGTGCATGTTGAATACTTATTATATTCTGTCCCAGACCTGTTTGTTTCTTACATGTGACAAGGTACTTTCTTTTTTAAGTTTGTCAACACAGATTACAAATGTAGTTGTTTCCCACAGCAGGAAATGTTTGGTTGCACATATCTTGTAATGGAAACCACATGCCTGAGTTTATGTAAAATCTGTATGTGCATTATCTTGAAGTGGAATGTTGTGATAAATCTATTTCTTTGCCTTATTCCGAGTATATATTATTGAAGCAAATGTTTCTTACATAGGTTCTGTGTTTTGCTGCCATTTACAGCCAAAGGCTGGCAGATTGGCTGTGACTGGAGCAGAGGATGATATGGCATATGTTTGGGAAACACATTCAGGAGAAGTAGTGTTACAATGCAAGGGCCACAAGGTGGGCATTATATTTGTAATTCATTCAGTATAATAATGAGTAAACAGAATGACAGTAGAATTTCAATATCAGTTTACTTGTATAAAGTAACTGAATATTGTTGGTGATTGGTTTCAGCTTGTGCTCAAGGTTCATATCTTAGTCTGGAGACTGACTGACCTGACTAAGGTTTTCCTTGGTTTTCCTTAGTCTCTCCAGGTAAATTCCAGGACATAACATTAAATTAGACCATTACCAGTTCCTTTCACATCCTCTACAGTTAATTATTCACTAATCATAATTTGATGCTATATAAGCTTAGCAATTGAAAATGTCTTTGAATAGATGAAGAATAGATAAATATTAACCTTTTTGCCTCAAAAGCCTTAGAGTGCATAGATAGGATGTGCAAAATACAGCTTCTTCTGCCTAATGTCTACCTGACTTACGCATGGTTCACCTTGTTATTGTGGCAATGAAGTTGTGGTGTTACAACCATTACATCTGATGTATAGGAAATCTTCCTGCCCATTTCAGCAATAGAACCATGATGATAATCTAATTTTTGATTTCGTATGTGAATTAGACTGTGGTTGTGTTGATTCATGAGCTAACTGTCCTATATATAACCTTAACATTTATGTAAGAAAGAGTATTCAAATTAACTAGTCTGATAATGTCAAGATAGAGTGAATTTCTATGGTGCACTGAAGGATTATTAAGTAATACTTTATTACTTTTTCCTTACATTTTGAAATTTGCCTTTGATGAGTGTCAGTTTTTGTGTAAAAAATAATGGGGAAAGTATGACTCTTTGAAGAATGCAGTGTTGTATATGATCAGATATTGCGTGAGAGTAGTCAGGAAGATTTTCTCTGATACGATATTTCACTGTGTCGTGTACAGGACTCTGTGACCTGTGTTAGATTCAACTATGATGGGTCTTACGTTGCAACTGGAGACATGAGTGGTGTCATACAAGTATGGAAAATAGCTAACAAGTTACAAGTATGGGAAACATGTATTGGCGACCTGACTGTAAGTAATACTACGTTTACATTATGAGTTGTATTTGTGTATAGAAAATCAAACAAATGAAGCAACATATTGCAGAACCACAGTAGTGGCACTGGATGTTGTAAAATTGAATAGAAATGGGTGTTGTGCAGTGAAATTGTGGTGTTTATGTACTCCAACTATAAGTACTGAACATCACAGCCACGTGGTTAGCAGTCATGCTTCTTGTTCAGGAAGTTCCAGGTAAAAACAACAATCTGGAAACATGTTACTGTGTCTGAGGTTTTTCACGGTTTATCTTTATCCCTTCAGCCAAATACTGGGATTGAACCTTAAATGCAGCCATAACCACTTATTTCCAAATCCTTTGCAATGTATTATTTATTAATCATTCTGTCATTTGTTGTTATGTGGTTTGAGCTACTGACAGCATCATTAAATGATCCATATACATAATTAAAATAAATAAATGTTAGTGGATTTACTTAATAATGTAATAAGCTTGTGGTAATTAACATTACATTTATTTACTGTAAAATCCTTATTTAATTATTTTCCTGGTCTCATTGTGAAATGTTAATTCTTCTTGGATTGTCTCCTGACTATATAGCATCAAATAATGTATGATAAATGAATTGGAAAGGTCGTAGCTTAAATTAAGGTACTTTTCCGCCAGTTTCATGGAGGGACTGGGAAACCTCAGTCCTGGATAGTCATCTCCAGGCTGATGTTTGAACCTGGGACCTCCTGAATATGAAGCAGGAGTACTAACCACTTGGCTGCAACGTTTAAATAAGACTCTGTCTTGCAGTCATGCACTGTTTGCAGTGGCTGAGGTGGCATCACGGAGCAAATGTCTTGCTAGCTGGAACTGAGTCGGGGGAGGTATACGTGTGGAGAATTCCAGGAGGAGAATGCAAAGTGTTGCCTGGCCATGGTGACAAAGCAGACTGTGGACTCATGTTGCCTGATGGTATGCAATTTATAATAAAATTATGACTTTGCTGTCAGGCAGTACGTGGATTTTTATGTCCTCTTTTTATTTTTTTGTATGTTCCTTGCATAGAAACTGTGAAAACTGAAGAAATGAAAGGATTTTGTGTATAATATAAAGGAAATAGATCCCCATAATTTGGAAGGGCACTTCATGCAGAATGTACAAGTATGCCAGCCATTATCATTATAAGTTGCTTTTTATGTGTCCTTTGCATGATGGGCTGATCATGTCTGTCTGTCATCCGCGTGGTTCAACTCAAAAACCATGGGACGGATTTGAATGAAATTTTGTATGGTCATTATTTGAGTAATTATTTGAGAAATAAGTGCAGCAGGTACTGTAAACGTTCTGATAATATCCCAGGTGGAATTTTTTTACCTTGCCATTTACGTCATGAAATACGAAGTAGAGAGAATGAAATTAAGATGTAAATTTTTTTAATTTCCAGGCAAACGTATGGCGATAGGTTATGCAGATGGCTCACTTAAAATATTTGACACAAAGACTGCGACAGTATTACACCACGTACCTCAAGGACAAGCTCACACTGGTACAATTACTGACATGGACTGCCATCCTGATAACAACTTGCTTATCTCTAGTAGTGTGGATGGACATGCTGTTGTGCTCAAAACTCAAACTGGAAAGGTTAGTAGGCCTGTATTATTCTGACAGGAACTCTGAAGTACGAGGCTCGTCCTTAAAGTAAGTTTCCCTGGGGCCGTTTACAGAAACAAAACACAATTTCATGTAAATATTTATTGCAACAGATACAGCAAGTGTCTAGCTATTTTTCAACATATTCGCCACCGGATTTGAGACATTTGTCATACCGTGGGACCAACTTTTGAATACCTGTGTCGTAGAAGTCTGCCGCCTGGGATTGGAACCACTGTGTGACAACCATCTCCGCCTCTCTTTCATTCTCAAAACGCTGACGCTGACGCTGACCGGACAGGAATTTCTTGAGGTGTAGGAAAAGATGGAAATCACTGGGAGCGAGGTCCGGGCTGTAGGGTGAATGATTAAACACCTCCCAGCTGAACTCCTGCAGGAGACTTGCTGTCCGTCGAGTCGTGTGCGGCCTAGCGTTATCACTGACCGCACTTCACAGTCGGCGGGAGCTGGAATAAGAACCTCCATCTTCAACAGCTGCAACGATGCTACTGTGAGAACGCGGGAAGTGCCGTTAGTGCATGCGCCATGCTGCGTCATTGCTCTATCACGTACGCACAGTCGCTTCGCGCAATATAAGGTTTGCTAGCTGTGGGACGAGTGGGAAACTTACTTCTGGGACGCGCCTCGTATATTAAATTAAATGGACGGATTTAAAAAGTTAAATGTCCTTGTGATTAAGCATCAAGCCACGAAGGCATGAAAGGAAGTAAATATGTAACTCGTGCTTTCTTAATCTTGGCAATGGAACTTCACATTATGGCTGCTTTACCCACTACCCATTAGATAAGAGGTCAGTAGGTGGACCCCAGAGCCAATATGAACATGGTGACAAAGAGAGAAATCCTTGCCCATGCTTAAGGCTGACTATCCAGTCCACGGCCAGTCACTTTATTAACTGAGCTATCCTGGCTATCTGAAGGGACATAGCAGGTGATACTAATAAAACACATACTTAGTAGGAACACACACTTGGTGTTTAATACGATGAGAAGATAAAAATTAATGCTGAGTATATAAGAATATGGAAATATGCAATTGTGGTCTATTTGAAGTTACTACCCTGACATTACCAAGAATGAGAAAAAAAAAAAAATGTAGTAAGATTTCAGGTATTCACAGTGGCAAGTATGAAGAAGGCTGTCTTCTGGGTTGCTGAATCATTGTCCTGATGACGGAGACAGTGTGCACCTCTGAAACATCAGTAAACTTCTACCAGACCACACAGCACAACCACCCAGGAGACAGCCATCTTCTAACTCACCACCAAGAAAACCCCAAATCCTACAAACATTTAACTAAGTAACATTTAAATATGCTTGGTTCCTCTTCAAGGATGTTCCCACCTCAGTAGTGGATTACGTCTCTTAAACAGGAGCCAGGATGAAAGGAGTGAGGGAGGCGAGAAACACCAAAAATGGTAAGGAAGAAATAATTCTCTCACTTACTACTGAACTTCAATATAGTTGATTGCTGCAGTATGGACATTCACCTCACTGGCGGAGATGGGGCCACATCAGGAAGAAGATGCTGCAATGTAATGAAGGCTTCTCGTGCAGAACACAGCGTATTGCTCTGCATAGGAGCTGGGTAGCAATACAGAACACCCTGGTTCTCAGGACCTCCTTCAGTAAGACCTTCTTGTGTGAGGTATAACACTCCTACTGGGAGTTCCTGTAGAACACAGCTCAGTTCACCAGCACCAGTGGTCCCTTAATAGCTGTTTCACCAAATCTGACTGCTGAATTCCCTGGATGTAATAGTAAGTTTTGGTTTCGTGATTAAAATACATACATAAAAGTGTGCAGATGTTTGTAGCAGTACATAACAAATTTTGTATACATTTATTTGCCACCTTCAAAAATTAAGAGCCTCGACGGAAATCAAATATAAACGCTGTGAGTAATTATTTTTGCTCCAAAATTATAAAATGCAGTCTTTCCACAGAAATTACACACTACCGCAAGATATATTTTCGAACAAGTTCTTACACAAGTCCAGTACTATTTTTACTAGTGGTATGTGACTCAAGATGAAATGGAAAAGGCTTTGACCTCTTAATATGGATTGAAGTACATGTGCAAAAAACTGTTCAGCAAATATTTGGAGCAATGTGTTTACAACAGCCACCACAAAGGGACAATACAAGATCCAATAATAAACAACAAGACAGATGTTTCTGTGTAGCAATTAGTAATGCTGGTGAGCTGGAACCTGCTGCTATCACATGACTGCATCATTCAGAAGTTGTCTGTCTTAGAAATTGTTAGTTTTCTGGCTGAAGTCTGTATTGGCATAGTGCCTTGTTTCTTTATGAAAAAGTATGGATGATAAACTGTTAAAACAGAGCATAAAATTTTTTTTTTGTAAAAAAATACTGACTGCTTCTAAGAATTCAGTCTACCAGTACAACCCAGAAACCAAACTCCAAATTTCCAAATATCAAAACCATGTTCAACTGCTTGCTTTACTGACATCAAACGAATGACTCATTACAAATCTCCTGCTTCAAAAATTCAATTAAGCATTCTACCTTCAAGTTCTTAAATGCTTATGGCAGCACATTCACTGATAAATACCAGTCTCTGACTCAACAAAGTCAATTTTTAATCATTCATGCTCCCACACAACACTTATATTAAAATTATTTTTGGCCAAAGACAAATACATGCATTGGGATATGTACTGAGTTTGACACATGCAACTTTTCATGTTTCCAACACATCTCTCATTATGAATCACTTGGGAACATCTTGCACAGACGACGTAACTAATACTTGTATCTGGCACTCACATTTTCAGAAAAACAGTTTTATCAACAGTACTGGGCACTCTGATCAAATTAAGGACGAGATACAAGATGAAATTGAACACGTAGCACATAAAAGAAATAAATAATTCATACAAAATATTAGTCAGAAAGAATAAGGAATAAACCTTCTGAAAAATACAGGCCTAGATGGAATGGTAAAGTTAGAATGGAACTTCAAGAAACGGTGTGAAGAGAATTCCTCTAGCTCACCATCACAGTGACAGGTCCTTGTAAACATCCAGGTTCCATAAAGGTAGTAAATTTCTTGACTAGCTGAGCAACTATCAGTCCTCAAAGAGGACTCTGGTCCATGAATGTTAATTTCAAAGCCCTGTATGCAATACTCTTCCAAAATGTTACAATGCCTGAGCATATAAGACACAAACCTTGGGTGGGCTTTCAACTGACAACTGTGCTGTAACATCACGACCTGCAACTCGCTGCAACTTCAGCTCTACCTGTAAGGGAAACATGAACTGTTAACATAAATTAACATCAGATTCTTAGCAGTTCCACATGCTATACAAAACACTACAGCTTGCCTTACCAGGAGTGCTGAGATTTGTTAGAACTGAGTCGATGGTTTGGAATGTAACTTCACGTCCATCCACACTACGCAACCAATCACCTACACATCATATGAAATTATTACTACTTTCAATATACATTATATTTACTTATCACTTCTCAATTATACACCTAAAGGTTATGAAACTCAGATATTATCTATCAAAAAAGCTGACCACACTATATGAAGGCCTATCAAAAGTCCTGGTCCAATAACACATGCAATATAAGTCCTGACACACTACTGGAATTTTCTCACTTCAAAATAGTCTCTCTGCAACTGAACAGATAAATTCCAATGATCCTACCATGGAATAGATTAAAATTGCAAAGCAAGAATCAAATGCATACAAAACAATAAAATAAAATAAGATATGACATTAAAGTTTTATGAAATGGTGGCGATATCAAATGAATAATATGGTGTGTGAAGGTATCAAAAACAACACTAATATTGTACTTCATCACATAATTCACATTCTCATTTTTATGTTAAAGCAACACCAAAATTGAAAAGTAATACTCTTTGGAAGACACAAAGGTTCCAAAGGTGTACTCTACACCACACACTGCTTAACATTATCTCCTTAATCATATATAGGAATAGTAATTGATCCTTCCATTTGCTATAACTATTCTTTTCACACACACTCATATTTATCGTCTTAATCCACAAAAGTGATACAGTTACGGATTACACCACAGAAATACTATACTTAATTTTTAGAAAGCTCACTAATTCACTTCCATCCACAGAAGATACTTTCTTCTGATGTGACTATAACAACAAATTAACCTAATACATTATGCTGGGCTGCCAAGCCACTGACAGTTTGCAGCTTAAATAATTCATATTACTGATATTAGTATAGACAATTATGTCATCGGTGCTGCTATGGACATCATAACAAATAATTCATGTGACCACTGATAGGAGGCAGCATGAGGAGTTTGTTTGATCACTGATCACATAAATGCCATCATGCCATCGTGGCTTAACAGCGTCTTGAGACAGGACCATCCTCCCACATTGTGACTTCAACCGTTCATCAGGTTCGTAATACTCATTACAAGAACGTGTATTGTACGAATATGAAATGGCCTTATCATAATTCACTCCATGACAAATTATGATCAGAACATAAAAGTTCATACAATAAGAGATACATGGAACAATGATCTTTGCTGAAAAACATGCCAGACAGATGCCCACAAATTCAACTTCAAGGACAAGATTGGGTTTGGGTTAGACCATGGACTGAAGCTTGGTGAGAAAGCCCAAGGGCATCCTCAGGTTCTCCACACCTTTCCAGCTGATTAGATGTGTGAGCACACATAATGTCCAGATCTGGGGTACCAAAAAGCCACATGCTATTTATCCAGAACAAAGGTTTATGGTCAGATCTTTTTTTGCAGAAAGCACAATTACAGGCATCACGTATCTCAACATATTGCAACAGTGGTTAATGCCACAACTGTCAGAAGATTTTCCACAACAGGATTCCTAGTTCCGGCAGGATTGTGTACTGCAACTCTGGCGTTTGGAAGTCGGTGACTACCTTTATGAAAACCTGCCTTGCACGTGGCCTCCCAGAACCCCTGACCCGACACTAATGGGGTTACGCAAGGGATGCAGATTACTAACCTCCTCGGCCACACATTCTTCATGAATTAGATACACATATCCAAATTCAGTGGAAGTTGCGACACCTTGGACAAAGTGACGCAAGAACTTAAAATAATTCTTTTATGTTTGCCATGTGGTGAATGGCTCTCATATCGTAAACCTCTACCTTGATGCAAATTAGAAGGTTACCTTTTTCATCTGTACGTCGTTTCATTGTGTGTCGCTTGTAGTATTTGTTCAATAAATTTATGAAATGGTGTCCAACATACAAATAGTCCAATATAGGTAAGAAAATATTGGCACAATGAATGTGTTTTGTGCTCCTCATTACACAACACTTTCTTAATTGCACAGTTTATATAGAGAATATAGTGCTTAATGAGGAGATAAAGACTTTTGAATTGTGAAGGATGTGGAAGTAACCAGTCATGGCCTTG